GAATTTTTTGCATGGAAGATAATGCGACCGAATATTACCGAATAATTTTTTATACGGGTTTATTTCGTATATAACATAAAGTTTACAGATTTTATGAAGATTATTATGATATATCACAAGATGAAGACGTTACTATTAAACAAATTGTAAATCACGAAATGTTATTTGGAGACAATCCTTCAAACAAACGTCTTAATTAGTGTGTGATTAAGAAAAGTAAACAAAGTGATGCAACCGGACTTGTGCTCACAAAAGAAACAATGGATGATTACTCTCCTTCATCAGACAGGATGGTTAGATTTAATATTATCGGCTTTGAGATAGCCCACACTGAATTTCATAGCACAACATTTGATATTGTATTCGTTAATGGTTGGCATAAACAATATTTTGTTGTTTGTTGAAAGTTTGCTTCCTCAACAACAGAAAGTTACAAGATCAACAAATTCAACAATTTGAAGGGTATTGGAAAACCAAGTCAACCTAAATATCAGCAATACTCTGAGCATTTCCTTAAATTTAATTACAGCCAATCAGTTAACAAATTTCATCCATCGTTTGCATTCGTTGATTGTTTAATTGAATCAGTGACCAGTCAATCTACATTTAGATTATCCTTATCACAAATTGAATGTTTATTTACTTTATGTCAACAAATCTCATTATTGAAAAAGGAAAATTTGGAAGAAATTGTGTAACAATTAGAGGCATTTTCAACAAAGTATTGTCAATATTCTGATTTGTTTTCAGAAATTCTAACAGATACATGGAATGATACCTATAATTCTATTCAGGTATTTAAAAGTTGGGCTTTCTTTCCTTTTCAAAAGATTACTCAACCTTTCTTGTTCGATTCTGAACTTGCTCAGGATTCTCCACATCTTCTCAGATACCTCATTTCATGTAAATATGGTAATTTATTGGCAGGTCAAATCCTTTCTCAAATATATCTGGTAGAAGATGAAGATGGAGATTTATTTAGATTGGCAAAGCAATGTGGTGTCCCAGAGGAGAACTCTCCAAACTCAATTGAGCAATATCCTAATATTTTACTGAGAGGAAATAGAAAAGAGTTGAGCAATGTAAATACAGATCCCAGATTGTGGTATTTTCATCCTACAGATAATTGTAATTATTCACTCCTAGATTTCCAAAAATACTTATTTGGCTTGGATTGGTATTTACTTTATTTATTTGTTTTAGGATTGAGATTTAAAGAACATGTTGAAAAAGTTAAACCAATTCTCAAAGAGTATAATATAGGTCTCTATTATCACTTTATTAGACAATTACTTCCTTCAACTTTAGAAAGAATTGAATGTTCCAAAAAAGCAATTGCTAATGGAATTCATGAAGATATTCAATTAATTAATACGACAACAGAAGAGCCAGAAATACTGTTGTGGAGAAGTCTTGCTCGTTTATTTGAGGAAGAAAAAACAGAGTATGAATCCACTTCCTGCTAGCAGGATGAAGTTGTTGAGAAATTACCAAGGATTTCTTCAATTTATATTGTCGTTTTAGTAATAGTGTGCACAAATAAATTCATAAATCCATGAATATTCAGGGCCAAATAAGAAAATAATGAAATAATAAAGAAATCGAGTACAGTGAGTTTACAGCGATATTATTTACGGTTCGTAGATGCCCTTTGTTAAAATTTTTTAAATTTTTCAACAACCTTTTGCAAGCACTTCAAAAATATTTTTATCGCCCTTAATAATTCAAAGAAAATGAGCATTTATTAAATCTGAAAAATAGAAAGAACGGAAACAACTTGCATCATTAAATTCAAAATTAATTATTCGTTTGGACATTATTTGGAAAGAGGAAAGAGAATTAGTGACAGAGCAACACGGAGAAGTGTTCCAGTGATAGTGAACAATTAATATTGAAACCAACACATAGATTTTAAGATATAGTTACTCTCATTTACCAATATTTTGAATTAGTGGTGTCACCATCAAATGTCTTATGAATTATTAAGAACAAACGTCCTATTAATTTGTAATAAATATACTATATTTCAATTTTAAATTGTTGACTTTTGTACTTAATTGACTTGAAGATACTGAGCCATCAATATGAAACTTTCTCGGATTGTTCTCCTCATCAAGGGGAGTGTATTCATATTTGATACTGGTATGATATTTTGTAAATTGACTGAGATGGAGTGTAATCTTTTTATTGAAATGTGACATTTTGAAAGATTGTTATTATTATCGTATTGAATTCTATTCTAACAATGTGAAATTGATACAAGATATATAGTATTGTAATTAAATGTATCTGGTAAATTTACATGGTAAATTTACATGGTAAATTTACATGATGATTGGATGTACTTTCATTGAGATGGAGTGTTCACTAGGATATAGTGTTGACATTGAACATTCTGATTAATTTTATGAAAGTAGTTTGAAATGTTTCTAAACTATTGTGGATGTATTTCATTGATGTATACTCTTTGGAATATCAACTGATTCCCAAGAGAGTGTCAGCTCAAACTGTTTCTTCAATTTTTACGTTTTTTCAAAAATCAGAAGAATTAAAAAATTATATAATAGGGGCACTAAAAACACAGTAAAGAGAAGAAAACCTTGTTTTTGAAGGGCATTCACTTTTAACAACTACGATTTTTAAGGGGTGATTGAAAAAAACCCAGTAATCGCTGTAATCAAATTAAATGTCTTTATTTGTTGAGTAAGGTATAAAAGAAGCACTGAGGAAATTTATTTCATCAATAGAGTGCACACTATTACTAAAACGACAATACTGAAAAATTCATTGTATAAAAACAGTATTCCTCCAATAATCAAGAAAATCACAATTATATAGGGAAAATAGATAACCATCACAATTTCAAGAACCAACAAGATAAGAGTTACCACAGGAGTTAAGCATATTAAGGTGATAAGCAGCCAATTAGGAAGACATGTTTCATTGACATAATCTGCAGTATGAACTCTAACATAGAACAGGAAGAAATGTGCTGGGAATAAGAACATTAGAAACGGAATTCCAAGATAAGTAATCAAACTCAACCAAGGAAGGTCCATAGTCTTTGCCAACAACTGTTGGAAGGAGTTACTTGTTATTGGGCTACTAGTAGTTGAAGTTTCGTTGGATTCTTCTTCTTCATTGTCAAGATTTATTGGCATTGGTTCACAAGTTTCCTGCGCTATTGGTGTTTCTGACATTTTTTACTTCAAATAAACTGCAAGTTATTCTAATCTTCTTTTTTATTTCGTAATTAACGTGAGTATTCTTAAAAATCGAAACGTGATTTGTTGTAATTGAACAGTTTCAGAAGTACTTTGTTAGAAGAGACAATCTATTCATATATGCAATAACTTAAAATTCATTCTTCTTTTTCAATTTGTCAACCTTAATCTTGTCAATTTTCATTTCACGTTGGAAAGCAAGAGATTGTTTGAATCGATGATGTGTGTCCATCATGACCAGACATGTTTCCTTTTCTAAAATATTGAACATGGTATCTGGTAGAGTTTCAATTTGCTTATCATTGAACTTGTCAAGATAATCCTTGTG